TGCTAATTCCTGGCCTGCAGAAACGAAGATAACAAACATTATTACAGTTTGACTGTAGTTGTTACCAAGGTTAGGGGGCATTTGTTACTTTGCGTGTCACAAGGGCTAATACAAATGTTATATATTCATTCAGTGAAATTTTAGACTGCTTGGCTTTATTTTTTATTTTAAAGATTTTATTAGTTTTTAAAGTAATATCTATACCCACTCAGGGGCTCAGATTTACAACCCTGAGATCAAGAGCTGCACACACTATCAACTGAGCCAGCCAGGCCCCCCTAGTCTGCCTGTTTTTAATAAGGGGTTAAGTAGCCGCATCATCGAATTCTGCTGAGCTTTAACTGAGCATTGATGTGAACTTTACGCATCTGGCACCTAGTAGGCACTTGATACGCTTGTTGCTGTACTCTTCTCTGGTTTTGTTTCCTTCCCTCGGCTTTCCAGCTGAATTTCCCCTCGTCTGACAAACAGGTATTCTCCCTAGTTGAAATATGGTCACAATATTCTCATCTGGTAGGATGGGGTCCATTACCTCTCATGCAAATTGGAGAAAAAGCGCATCTTCTCTTCAGGACATGAAGTATAACGGGGCCGACCCCATCTGAATGCAGAGATCACAGAAGGCGAGCTTACCTCGGTGGCATCTACTCCATCTTTCAAGCACCTAAAGAGGAGGGACGGGGTCTAATTAGGCACTAATGAAGTAGAACTTAGAGAAGATGCCAACCTGAGTTCCTGACACTTCTACCCAGCAACCCTAAGGTCTCAGGAGGATTTTATTTTGGTGTCTGGATGAAAGAACTATGTTCCTGAAATGTTAACTACAACTTTTTTTTTTTTTTTAAAGTAACCACACTAAGCCATGCATTTATATAATCATATGAGACTTATCCCTAGGAATAAAATCGACAACTTCCTCCACTCCCACCAGACAAAACATACATTCCTTGACTTCTGAAAAGCAGGGGGGAAGAGCTCACACTAACACCAAAGGCTGTGCCAGGGCCCCCATCACATCACCCACCACTTGCCAAGTGGCTTAAATTACTGGCTTATCCAAAATACAGGGAACTTTTCTGTGCCTGCAAGTCTAGTGGAGCATATATTTAAATATGAAAGAGACCAGTGAAATTCAAAGACAATGGAATTAAGTGAGGAAAGAAAAGTTGCAAGCCCCTGCTAGACCAAGTTAGTTCCTCCACATTTTGGTGAGAACCAGCCCCATACCCATGGGGCTTCTGGGGTCTGTTACCTTGTAAATCTCCAGGGTGAACCGCTGCACCTTGCAACACACCTGAAAGCTAGGAAGCTAAGCAGGGCCCACTTGGAAGAGAGAACAAAAAAATAGACATTCGTTGGCAGTGTCTTGCCATCCCCCGCATCAACTCTCCATCTTTACGCCAGGTCTTCACAGATCTGAAGTGTCACCCGCTGCCTCTCCCCATTCCAAAGGATTTCAGAAAGCCTGAATGGCTTTAGATTTCGGCAGGTCCACAAATACTGCACCTTAAACAGTGGTTCTCTGTGGCCAATGGGGTTTCAGGCTACCCTTGGAGAGCTTGGCACAGAACAAGGTCTCCTTTCAGTTGACCCTCCTTTGCTAATACAAGGCTGTTTGGCTGGGCCCAGCACCCCATGGGGCAAATGTTCGGGCCAAGAATAGTCTTCATTCTTCCTGTGAAGCTTTGAAAGGCTTCTAAAGAACACAGGAAATTGTCAACCCATATTTTCTGTTGAAAACGGCTGACACTAAACTTTGAACATTCTATGGATTAATCCCAAATCATGGGAACCAATTTGCTTGAAAAGAAGCAATTTTTTCAGCAATGTCAGAGATGAGATACTCTGATAAACCATCCCAGCACTATTTGCAAAGAATGACATTATTTTAGAACTCCCATTACTGGCACTGTAAAAAACCCTTCTTCACCAAAATTACCTTATTTCCATGGCATGCTTTATTGTTGAAACAATAAAGTTACTTAGTAACTCCAAAAGGCTGTGTCTACAAAGAAGCAAGTCTAGAGACCTATCAAGCACCACGCAAACTTACTGAAAATGTACCATCGCCTAAAACTGGGGAAAAACAATACTCTTTTGTCTGTCATGGCCCCAGCATCACCACTTCCAGCAACACCCAAGGATAATCTCTCAAGGTCCAGACACCTCACATGTGCAGTCACAGAATGTAATCTTCACTCTGAATCAGCAAGAGAGATATGGGCCCTAACTTATCGCTGCAGAAACAAATGTTGAGAAAGGAGAAGTAACATGCCCAATTCACAGAGATGGAATCTGAACACACAGGATTAGCGTGTTCAGTTTTCTAGCACAGACCAGGTGGTCGCACGGCAGAAGACTAAAGCAACGGAGGCCCTGACCTCATCACCAAGACTGCATCAAACTCCAGCTCTGCCACTTACCACTTGTCTCTAAGTCACTAAACATCTCCAAACCCGTTTCCACATCTGTAAAAGGGCGATACTGGTATCTATTAAGGGTTAGATGAAGATAATACACAAAAACTAACTTATCGTCTGAAATGTGGTAATAAGTGTTCAATACGTGGATAGCTGTTATTACAAAGGGTAAGGAAAATATTCTGAATGAAATACACGGACTTTTGTTTACATTTGCAAGCTTTTTATTAGAAAGGACTTCAATTTACTGGAGTGGCAGACAGTAATTTTTCCTTTCACATCAAATAGGATAGCACAGCAGTCTTCACTAGGACACCCTCGGGGAGTCAACAAAAATTATTAACGATCTATATACTACCTAGTCAATGGCTTCCAAAGTGGAATGAGTAGAGAGTTCACGGGGGCTTGAGAAGGGTGCTAAACTCCCCCCTCCCCAATTTAAAATTTTGTTTCATAATTTCACAGTAACACAGCAGCACATGCACACAGTTGTAATTATGGATACATGCTCAAGAATATTTCAATAAGGAAACAGGATAAAGTTTGGAGACAGTGATCTTAGATGACTTGCTAAGTCAACATTCTGCTTTTGCTTCATTAAGCCATCTTACACTCTTTCCTCTTTTCTCACCTACTGTACATTGACCTCCACATTCCTTGGTCAGTTTCTCCCAAGAGGATAAAAGGCACAAAAGGTGGGAAGACTCAGAATGTGCAGGTGGTTCAGTGACACCAAACTAATGAGTCTGAGAGGCAGGAGCCTGTATCTCTTTAGCTTTCAAGAGTATAACCTGAGCTACATAGAAATAAGCCACGTGTCCAATCAATTATCAATTTCCCCCATTGTGAACTTGATAATGAGACAAGTAGATCTCATCCCACTAGGTGGCAGTAAAGCTCTACCATGCAGTGCCCAAAACAGTCACTGGGATTGGTGCTGACTTGGTCAATGTCGCACAATTAGATCGTGGTTACTTCAATTACATAATGCTTCTGGACAACAGAAACTAGGCATTGCCTGTTTTGCTGTTTACAAGCTGGGCTGTCCTCATGTCCTGAGTGTTACATGTATTGTGAATGATCATATAGCAGTTCTCAGAAACCCACAGGCCATATAGCAAAAATAGCCCTCAATATGCTTGAAAAGCCTGGAGTCAACAATCAAAAGATCCAGTAAGGTTGTACAGGTCCTGTATCAGATTCAGGTAAAATCCTTAGGTATGATATGGGTAAGATTTGTGCCAGTTTTTACGAGGGTAGTAGAATAAAGGTGATTTACAAACTTACAACAAGATACAGAATTTTTAAATGGTAACTATGAGAACCTGTTTCTAGAACTCTAGAATTAATACTTCACCAGTTAGGCAGGTGGTCTATACAAAGTTTTTCATTTTGCATCCTCCAAATTCAGTAGGTCGTTAACTCCTTAAAACCAAACCTTTCTGGTTATAGGTGTTAACCCAATCTCACTTAAGAACCAAAACAAACAAAATACTCCTGCATATTATACCTATAGTTATTCTGGAACACCTGATTCTAGTCTTAGAATAACAGGCAATTTATTTTTAAAAAGCCACTCACACCATGTAGGTTGTTCAACAGCAGAAGGCATTTTAGGATTAACAAAACTTTTCCAAGACAATTTTTAGTTAGTGACGGCCATCAAATAAGAATAAATCTTTATTGCGGTATTCCCAAATCATGTTTTTAATGCCTCATGAGATTTACTTTAAAAATAGTAACTCTCAGGGTGCCTGGGTGGCTCCGTCGGTTAAGTGTCCGACTTCGGCTCAGGTCATGATCTCACAATTTGTGAGTTTGAGCCCTGTGTCAGGCTCTGTGCTGACAGCTCAGAACCTGGAGCCTGTTTCAGATTCTGTACCTCCCTCTCTCTCTGCCCCTCCCGTGTTCGTGCTCGCTTGCTCTCTCTCTCAAAAATAAACATAAAAAAAAAAAGTAACCCTGGGGTGAATTTACATATAAACTGAAGATACTATAACATAAATAATCTTCCTAATATATGTTTTACATTTTAGATCTATTTTTTTTTGAAAAGCAATAAGGATCTTTTTAAGCATACGGACTTCTTTAAATCCTTCAGCCTGTGAAACCAAAAATATTGGCTCGTAAGAATTAGCAGTTACTTCCTTCTGCTTGGATCATTAATTTTTAAAAGTAACAAACATGGTGCAACTTTTTAAGGTAATGAACTGGGTTGCATTAATTATATTTAATATACCATAAAGCATTATGTTAAAATCTACATCATTGATCTTTAAATTGCACCACCTTGTTTCCAGTTACAAAATTTCAGTTTCCAGGGACTTGAGAGTTCATCTAATGTGAATGAGTTGGGATTTGTTCTCAGAGGTATAAACATTAATGAGAGTAATGAGTAGAGATAACTGTACATCTCATAAATTAGAAAAGCAATACATTAACCATATTCTAAATGAAATAAACATACAATAGAAAAGATGAGTTACAATTGTGGAGGAGACAAATTCAAGTTGAAGTTTCTTCCCAAACATATTCTATTCTTGTATATCAACTGTAGAATATTTAAGAGCCCACACTCTATTACATCACAACATTGTTTATTATGTGAATTTTTTACAATACAAACAAAAAAAAATACAGAAATGCAATATATGAATACAGCTAAATGCAGAATGGTGACTTTTTTTTTCTTTTCAGGAGGCCATGATTCCCATTTCTAGTAAAATAAAGAGACTGCACATAGGTAGAAATAGGTTGGTCGTTAGCTTCACAATTTTGCCTAGAAATGATCTATAAATGCATTTTTCCCCTGCTACTTACCATAAAGTGTAAAAAGGGAATTAAAGGAAAGTTTCCTTGTTGGTTCCTACCATATGAAAGATGCTATATTCTATTTTAGCAGGGCCAATATATGGAAAATACCTAAATAAAATGTTATTACAAAAATGAAGCAGTAATGAGATTCTGGCTAAAGAGGGTACTAAATGAGGATAACATATATTTAAAGAATCCAAAACAAACAAATAAACAAAAAAAGGTTGTTATAAAAAAGCTCTAGGTGCATTGTAAGCATATAGGATTTTTTTCCATGTGTATTTTTAAACAATGGAAGTGTCAAAAAATAGGGTCAACTGTGTTAGACTAAATTACATTATTGTATATGCTGCACTGAATGGAACCTCTGTATTATAATTATCATAGAGAAGCATAGTTTGCATCATATTATGGCAATTTATCCTCAATGAAAACCTTCCAGAGTCCTTTTATTTTGGAATATCTTGTAAACAGTCAAACCACCAGAACATGATTGTACAACAGTAAAATGTTTTCTTGCATTAAATTGAAGACATCTGTTTGATAAAAAAAAAAAGAAAGAAAGAAAGAAAGAAAAAAAAAGAAGAAAAGAAAATGTAGGAAAGGTACTTAGAGCTGTTAGTTTCTAAGTACACAACACCCTAGACAATTCAAGGCATCTTAATCTCCATCAAGAACAAAAAAATAATAATAATTTTTGTCATGCTGTTAAATCCATCATTAAGGATAAAACTGGTGCAAATTGGTCAAACGGATCCAACAAACACTGATGTCCAAGCTGGCATATTGGCAACTAATACGTAACTGGTGGTCAATAGAGGGTTTAAAAGATCTTCCCTTTCTTCTTGTTCTTTTCCAAGGTTCTAAATGATTCAAGGAAAATAATCAAAATGAGTGGCCATGTTATAAACATTAAAGATAACATAAGATGGTAGCAATGGCTAACCCAATTACAACTGTTAGATGTTCAAACACTACTTTTTTTTAGCTTAAAAAATTATCAGATTTAGAAGTGAATGATGACAATACAAATCTGTAACAAACAATCAAATTTTGACCAAATTTCAGGATAAACACTAAAAATAGGACAGAAATCCAGTTTTAATGTAGGAGAACAATTCTTCCCAAATAAGAGTGCAAACTGAAAAAGATCAACTGACATCAAAGAGGGTACCTTCTCTTCTACTGCTATTTGCATTCTCAATTACATTTGCTTTTACAAATAGATTTTCCTTTTCACTGGGGAAAAAATTAAAAGAAGGAAAGCATTATAGAACAAATGTCTAACCTTGAAAATATTTAGCAGTGAGGGTAAATTGTAGAATTCTTATAGGGATATAACTTTTCAGTTTTAAATGGGACTAACAAGGAAAAGAACAAAACCAAGGTACAAATATTACTAAGTTTTATGTAAATTAAGAACAAGTAATTGATCAGTTGTATTTGGAATTACATATCCAGTATTTTACCTTCAGAACTTAATCCTAAAGAAATAACACAATTAAAACATAGCCCTAAATTGTATAAAAGATTTTTGCAGCAGTGTTTTCTATGCTTGCTGACGATCGAACACAACTATTATGTCCAACAATTGAGGGGAGGAGGGAAGAAATTGATTATGGTGAGTCAAGTGGGGAGAATGTGATGAAGCTACCAAGTTATAATTATGAAGACAGTTAAGTAATAATTATGAAGACAGTTAAGTAATGGAAAATGCTTGTAATGAAAAGAAATACTGTTAGAGTAGACAGATTGCATCCATCTATGTAAAAATATTCACCCATGAAAATAATTGTGGTTGTGTGATAATGGGTAATATCTTTTAAAATGTTAATATTGTTAAAATAAACAAGACAATAATTCCTTGAAACATTAATATACACATTTCTTGGGAATCTGATATTAATTACCTGGAAGAGTTCTGTTGTTCTAAAATACGTTGTTGGGCTTCCCAGTTTGCTTTCTCATCTTCAAACTGACGACGTTTTTCCTCTAATTCTTTGTGCTGTGCTTCCAAGTTCTTTTTCATTTGCTCATGGCGCCTTTGGAGCTAAATCAAAGCACGATATATAAAATAAAACTATTTAAGAAATCAGGAACAGAAGTAGGTTTCACCCAAGCATTCTAATGTTAAAATTATGAGCACTGAGTTCTTGTGCTATAAATTCAGAGTACCACCTGGAAAGCACTGTCTAGGTTTTCTTCTCCTATAGGAGGCCAGTGACCCAAGAGAATAATCTTGGGAAACAGGAAAAAAGAGTACAAAAAGTTTACAGTTGTGTTGCACTTTACAATGGACATATCCTATCTTATAACCTCATTTTTCATTATTCATAAGTATGTAGAAGCAAGGCAAATAAGACATCACTGTCCCCATTGTATAAATGAGTAAACAGCTGCAGAGTTTAAGTCCCTTGCCCAAAATCATTAGCCAGAAAAATAGAAGAATGAGGATTTGAACTGCCTCCTAATTCTAAGCTCAGAAAGCTGAGACAAGTGGAATGAAAGCAGGTATACATAAAGACTTAAATTTAGAGCTCCAAGATCATAGGAAGCTCCCCCAATTCTTATAAAGCAGTTTCTCAAATACTAATTTTCATATAAATCACCAGGAGTGCTCTGTTAAAAAATACTGAACCCTGGACCTCACCAAAACATACTGAATTAGAATCTTTCAGTGTTAAGATTAGAAATCTGCATTTTCAACAAGCCCCAGAGATTCCAATGCAGGTGGTTTTCCTACATTGAAAATCAATGCTTTATAAGAATGCTGACTAAGTAGAAACACTCATGCAAAGTAACTGCAGAAACAGAGAGCTCACCTAATGGATCACTAAATAATGTCAGTTATGCACTAGTCAGTCTATTTCTGAAGAAAATAGTCATTAATAAAAAAAAAATCAGATTAAATCTAAATACACTTAATACCCCAAAAATATTCAAAATCTTCAGATGTCTAGGAATCATGTTCTACTAATGATCATATTACATCAGTGAGTTAACATCTTGAATTTGGATTATAATGAAATTTTGCATATAATTTATTTTCTCAATTATTCTGTAAACCCACAGAGAGGGACTTCAAATTTACTCCTACTGCAAATATTTCATGCAATTCCTAAAAAATAAAACCATCTAAGATAAATTTAAGCCAACATGAGTCAAATATGCTATGATCATCTTCCTGATCATAGCAAACAAGGTACTAAGAAAATATCAGAAAATAGAAATGCAGGAAAATGCCTTTAGTTATAGAAAAAATGCAAGCGAATCAGAAACACACAATTCACAATAGTTACCTCTGAGAAGGAGAAAAGGTGCTACCATAGGCACACAAGGGCCTCAAATGAACTAATGAAGTCTTAGTTTTTAAGCTGGGTAGTTAAGTTCACGGGTGTTCATGATTTTTGATGTGTAAATTTCTATTGTATGTAAGTATCTTCTGTGTTAGTTGCATGTAGGTTAAGAAGTACAGGTTACAATCCCTCTCAAGAAACCCTTGGGGTTATATGTCTTCCAAACTTCTGAATACTTCAGACCTTAGAATGGCAACACTACTTAGAAATATATACATACTACATTTGCAAAACACATCCTGGGTTGTCTAGGGTAGCACCTATAATCAAACACATTACTATTTTTTTGCAGTAAATTTTATAAATATTCACATCAAGTGGAATAAAATTATTAGTTCTATGTCTGGTTTTGCAGTTTTCAGAGCTTGTCAGGATTTAAGATTTGAAACTATGGATACATGACTGTGGATTTATCTAGTGAATAAGAGCAAACTTAAAGAATTAAGTGAGTTCAAATAATGGCTTACAACTATACATGCAGCACTGGCCAAGTTAATTTATCCTTCCTCTCATGAAAATAAAAGGAAGATGGACAATAGTATCTACTCCATAGGTTTATGGTGTGGATTTAATGACATAACACAAGAAGGGTGCTTAGTAGTGCGCCTGATGCACTGTGCTGCTGGACATTAGCAGCTATGCCTAAACAAACACTTTTAGCACTAATGAACTTGAAAAAAAAAAAAAACCTATTAAGGTTAAATAGGTTCCTTCACCCATATATTTATATACTTAACATGGCTTACAGTATTAGGGCAAACTTGGCCAGATTTCTTTACAGGTTCTTTCATGCTAAGAAAGATTTCAGACTTCAAAGAGCAGTTAAGTTTTTCAAAACTGTTTTCACCATTTACAGAAATCATAAAAACTCTTTAAAGGTTCTTTGGCTACAGTTTCATAATTATTTCTTATAACATTTACTCTTAGGAGGAAGCACTAAAATATGTCTATAGTAAATATACATTCAACTACTTTTAGATTTTCAAAGAAATCTTAAGTTTGGAGGTAATGCAGACTCTTGATTATTCCTGTTTTTATTCCCCTTCTGTTATGGACTTTTCCAGATTATTCACTAATTAACGAAAGGGTACAAACTCTTAGATTTAATTTAATCTCCAAAACGTCATCTTAATAACAGGTGCCAGGGCTGCTATTCCTGCAGTCTTCTGAGAACTCAAACAAGAAGGAACTATTCTGTATCTCTGCTGAATTAAGCCTATAACAAATATAACAACAGTCACAGTTGCTTTTTTTTTTTTTTAAAGTTTGTTTATTTATTTTGAGAGACGGGGAGGGGGGGAGGGAGAGAGAGAGAGAGAGAGAGAGAGAGAGAGAGAGAAAGAGAGAGAAAGAATCCCAAGCAGGCTCCATGCTCAGAGCAGAGGCCAACCCGGAGTTTGATCTCATGACACTGAGACCATGACCTGAGACAAAATCAAGAGTTGGACACTTAACCAGGTGCCCCTGTCTTGTTTTGTTTTGTTTTGTTTGTTTTTAAGTAAGAAATTACATGTAAAGCCCAGTAATTTAAGAGAAATTTAATGTGGAATAAAAACATTTCTTTAAAATTTTTCAGTATTTTACTCACTCCATGCATTCTATTTAGTGCATTAAAATACTTTGTTAGATATTTAGTCAAAGAGGGTTTCAGTATTTTATGCAGTAATTACAAAGGCAATGAGATCAACCATAAGGATGTAACAGAATAGATCTGAATCCCCTTTGAATTTATTTAGATACAAATATTATTAGTGGAGCCACATATAAACATAGGGATCTCACTGAATTTTAACATTAAAGGTCACTTAAAAAAATATTTCATGTTAATATCTATCACACCAACTACTTACTTGATAGAGTCTCATGTTAGTGCTTTTCCCCTCCATCTTTCACTTCTTGAAGGAAATGTAAGGGAATGTCTTCAAGGTCTTTTTGATTAATAAAAACTAAATGCATGCCTCAACATCTATAGAAGGATTCCAAGGTAAATAAGCTTGTTGGGATGCTTTATCACTACTCTACCAATTTTGTAACACTAGCAATTACTCTGACACTATATTACAAATAAGCCCAATTTAAATTACAGGAATATCACATTCCTTCATTTTCTCTCCTTTGGCTGTTTGTTTTATCCTGGCATGCCCTTAGTTCAGTTACGGTTCTCTCTCTCTTTTTCTCTCTCTCATTCATATGCAAGTAACTCTGGTGGTTGTTGATGATGATGATGATGAGGATGAGGATGATTATTCTAATACTAGTTTTTATTCTTACATCCACCCAAAACTCTGATCTTTACTTTTCTTACACTGAATATAAGGAATAGCTTATAATTCCACTTCTCATAATTTGCTCATTAAAACTCGTAATTCATTATAATTATTCTATTATGTCTTCCTACCAAGTATATGTGTTCAAATACTAACATATCAAAACATACGTTATTATAAACAACGTACTTGCTTTTATTTCTCCATTTTATTACACTAGGGCAGTGACCCTAAATTTTTTTTAATGTTATTTATTTTTGAGAGGGAGAGTAAGTGACCACAGTGGGGGAGGGGCAGAGAGAGAGAGAGAGAGAGAGAGAGAGAGAGAGAGAGAGACACAGAATCTGAAGCAGGCTCCAGGCTCCGAGCTGTCAGCACAGAGCCTGATGTGGGGCTCGAACCCACGAACCTTGAGATCATGACCTGAGCCGAAGTCGGACGCTTAACCGACTGAGCCACCCAGGCGCACCAAGCTTCTTTATATTTTTATTTTATTTTATTTTATTTTTTAATTTTTTTTTTCAACATTTATTTATTTTTGGGACAGAGAGAGACAGAGCATGAATGGGGGAGGGGCAGAGAGAGAGGGAGACACAGAATCGGAAACAGGCTCCAGGCTCTGAGCCATCAGCCCAGAGCCCGACGCGGGGCTCGAACTCACGGACCGCGAGATCGTGACCTGGCTGAAGTCGGACGCTTAACCGACTGCGCCACCCAGGTGCCCCTTTATTTTTAATTTAATATTTATTTTCTTTTTGAGAGAGAGAGACAGAGAGAGAGAGCGAGAGCGAGCAAGCACAAGTGGGGGAGGGGCAGAGAGAGAGGGAGAGACAGAATCCAAAACAGGCTCCAGGCTCCGAGCTGTCAGCACAGAGCCCAACGTGGGGCTCGAACGCACGAACCTTGAGATCATGACCTAGGCCGAAGTTGGACGCTCAACTGACTGAGCCACTCAGGCGCCACATTAGGGCATTATATTAAATTTTTAAAAATATGTGTAGAGAGGTTTTATTATCTAGACTATTGAAGACCTTTGTTATTTTAAAAAGAAATACTGTGTCCGTAACAGGGGACAACGTTAGGCTCTACCTCAGCTTCCGAATCCTTCAGTTTTTGAACTTTTTCTTTGACCTTCATCTCAAACACCTGCTCCATCTCCATTTCCATCTTCTTCATCTTAGCTACATGCTCCCTTCTTTCTTCTTCCATTTGTGCAAGAGGGCTCCTGTTGTGAACATTAAGGATAATCATCAGAAGTCTGAAAATGAGAAGTATGATACAAAACTCTGACACGGCGATGAAAACAAATGAGATGCTGTCATCACTAAATTCTGTTTTTTGAAAATAAGCTTGAAAATGATGTTTCAATTATTCTGAACACCATCTTAGATGACACAGATCGCAGATTTGAAGTTTTGTGTATAAATGCATTAAAAATTCTTTAGAAGCTTCAAAAGTTGTATTTCTAATCTAGAATTTCCTTCCAGTTTTATATTTAAACTGGAATCTCTAGTGCACAATTATTATGAAAAGAGACATGAATAACAAACTGTTAGCAGGAGGTTTCTCTAAAGCTAGTTAGTGCATACCAATCTAAAGATGACACATAAAATAAACTGTAGAAGGAAAATGGAAAGGAAACATTCCTAAATTATACTCACAGCATGGAAAATGAGAAGAAAATTATTTAATTTTGTACTTTAAACAAAATTTTATTTTTTGTATTTTTTATTTTTTTACATTTTATTTATTTTTGAGAGAGAGAGAGAGAGAGAGAGAGAGAGACAGAGCACAAGTAGGAGAGAGGCAGAGAGAGAGGGAGACACAGAATCTGAAGCAGGCTCCAGGCTCTGTGCTGTCAGCACAGAGCCTGACGCGGGGCTTGAACTCAAGAACCATGAGATCATGACCTGAGCCGAAGTCAGACACTTAACTGACTGAGCCATCCAGGCACCCCTCAACAAAATTTTAATGCGAAAAAAGGAACTGAGCTAATGAAGTTAATATACATAGCCTATTTGTAGTTCTAAAAATTTCTAAGTGTTATAATCTCTTCTTCTAAGACAATTACTGACATTATAATTGTAAGTTAATTAACACCAATTCAGACTTATTTTAGTAACTGAATTGACATGCTGGAAATGACTACTAGTCAATACCTAGAACATTTTTCATTTCTAGGCCATTTACGGTAATTTCACTGATTATGAAAATTCATTCTACCTATTTTAGTGTCTAAAGTTTCTGTCTTACTTTAAAAGATGTACTGGTGATAAAAAACACACATACACATGAGAAAGAATCAGAAGCAAATAAATATCCTAGTAATTTTTTTTTTTAAATGCCAGAAAACAGACACAAGCATAGTTGAATGGAAGTATTTCAGTCTTCTAACATTAAGGTCCACAGGCTCAATTCTCTACACAATTTTGTTCAAAATTTTCATGTTGGAAAATACTGCAGATGAGCTTTATATAATGGCTAGCATACTTACAGACACAAGGGAATATAAAATTATCAGTAACTTACTATAGTCCCAGGGAGGAAAGAAACATGTACTCTGTGGCTTTGAGGATCTCTGAAAACTATTCAATACACTAGAACAACCTAAAGAGGCAGGCCTTCTTCTGACTTTGTTGATAAAACTTGTTTACTTTGCCTCCACATAAACAGGCTTTGACCACTGAATTGTATATTTAAATTGGTGAATTTTATGTCAGTAAAACAGTTTAAAAAATTAAATCATGGCTTATAAACAAAAACAAAATCAGGCCTTGGATTCACCCATAACCTCTAGGGTTAGTCACTTTAATCCTGATGTGAGACACTCTGATTATGGTAGATTTCTCTCCTAATGAGGCTGAGTATTTTTCCAGTACTCCTCTTCCCCCTATCAAGTAGAAGGACAAAAGAGACTGATGGAATATATTCAACAAGAGCAACAGGTCAGAACACTGGCTATGGATTTTTCTTAGCAAAAAGGGAGGACAAAGCCATGAAGCACTGCTGTGATCAAGATGATCTGTTTTTGCAATTAGTGTAATCTAGAATAAAATGCTAACTGAAGGATAGTTCTTCACCAAAAGTAAACTTACAAACCTGCAGTATATTTTAGCAATTAAACAATTAATCAGAAGTTCTGAAAATGAAACTAAACCAAACATTAACTTAGAACAAAAACCTGCATTCAAAAAGTGAGGTCAAGTGAACAAAATTGTTAAAAAATTTTTTAATGTTTATTTTCGAGAGCGAGAGAGAGCGTGAGCGCATGAGTAGGGGAAGGGCAGAGAGAGTGGGGACAGAGGATCCAAGGCGGGCTCTGCACTGTCAGCACAGAGACCGATGCAGGGCTCAAACCCATAAGCCTTGAGAACATCCTGAGCTGTAATAAGACGCTTAACTGCCTGAGCCTCTGAAATAAATTTTTAAATGTAAATATCATTATTTCATTAAAAGTTAAGGCCCTCCTTGATAATATAGTTCTCATATGTATGGCAGGTGTTTTGGTACAGGGGCTTCCAATCTCTTGAGCAGAGTGGCAATGAATCCCCTGAAATGACACACTAAACGTGTGTGTCCATGCAAGCATTTTTCCGGTGAGGGGGTCCAAAGCTTTTGTTAGATTTTGAGTCTATAAACCTCACTTATTCCATCTCCCAGAACATTTTTAGCCTCTAGAAGAGAAATAATCTAATAACTATTTTTTTTAATTGACAGGTTTAACTGAATATGTATGTTTAAGCAACTGAGACTATCCAACAATATTGGCGTAATCTGAAAACATAGTTCAAAACTGTATAGTAAATAAATTAGAAACTCAGACTGATTTTAAAATTAAATATATATTCCTCCTTATAATAAAGTGCTCATTTAATTTTATCCTTGGGAGGAAAAAAGCAATTCATGTAAATTCAAAGAACTCATGGTATAATTTGCACATGAAAAGGTTACCAGCTAACCAAAAGTAACCACTGTTATTTTGATTTTTATTTAGATAACTCTAGGGGGAAAGACTATATTTTGAAGTTTTCTTTTAAATTCTAAATTTATTAAAAACCTTTACATCTTAAAAGAAAAAAACTTACATGCCTTCAACTGTGTCATATCTAAAAGAACAAAAAACGGAGACTTAAAACACTTAGAGTAAACCACACTAAAAGCAACAATTAAAGGCAAATTCAGAGACGTCACAATTAAGTAATTTAAAGTATGTGCCCTAAAACAAAAGTTTATGGCAAAATTTGTTAAAGCTAGTTAATTTCTTTCCCAAAATTATGTTAATTACTATACCAAATCATTATGAAAATAAGCATGCTGTGCAATTATCTTGACAGCCTGCTCAAATTTTTAAACCTATTTAAATATATGTACTTCCAAAAAAGGAAATATTTACAATATTCGTATCTGAGATACTTTAAGTTTTTCAGCCTTGTAAAAATACTTGACTTCTGATCAAATGAACTGATATTCCAGTATTATAAAAAAATGGTTATACATATCTAAAATAAATTTTTTTAAGCCTCTCATCAGTAAAAATGATCTTTCAAATCTTAAATTAGCACCACATTTGTAGTCACCTTTATGAAAGTGATATTTAGGAAACTGTAATACAATATTGTGCTTACAATGTAGGAAACACAGGAAGAAGGATCATTTTTCATCACATTATTTTTTTCCAAATAAAACTTTTTAACTAGAGGATCAGAAAAACCATTTAAATTGTATCATAGCCTAACTGCTTTAAAAAAAATTTTTTTTTTAAATGTTTATTTATTTTTGAGAGAGAAAGACACAGGGTGCCAGTGGAGGAGGGGCAGAGAGAGAGGGAGACACAGAATCCGAAGCAAGCTCCAGGCTCTGAGCTGTCAGCACAGAGCCCCACGTGGAGCTCGAATCACAAACCCTGAGATCATAACCTGAGCCAAAGTTGGATGGTTAACTGACTGAGCCACCCAGGCGCCCCAGCCTAACTGCTTTTTAATGGGAAATTGTTCTTTACACACATAGACATGCTAAAGCTTATTCACTTAAACTTGTCAGAGAAATTTAAAGGGACTCAGCCAAAGAAATGAAAGGGCCAGGTAAAAGTTTTTTAAAAAGGAAAAAAAAAAAGTCTATAACATAACCTGAGTATCATGCTAAATCTCCAAAGATATAACACAGCTCCTCCTAGGGATCTCTTTAAAGGTTTATGGTTCCTGAAAGCCACCAGATGATTCACCCCTTCATGTGACCAACGAAAAATGACAGCAAGGACCACACAAGGCTGACCTAGTAAGGTTTTACTGTGGTGGTGTTACATGACCCACATTTTGAGTGTAAGAGAAAACAAACACATTTCATTTAAATTATGTGTGGTCTTTCCTGAAGAACACATTAAACAAATACATTCACATACTTTTGCATCAATGGTTAGTAGGCCACTGTGGAAACAGACATGTAGCAATTTTCATACAAAAATTTTCAAAGGAATTCCATTTACATGGAGTTCAAAGAGCAATAAAAATTTCCAAAATTTTTGGGAAACAATAGTTACCAACATTTTATTTTGCCAAGTGAGAGCATTATAACCAAATGTAAACAAAACAATATTCTACTACTATTATATTTTCATGAAAGGACGTCTGAACAAAGGGTAAAGGATACAACTGAATAAATTTAAGTCTTTGGAAAAACTTTGGGAAACTTCAGAAAACTGTCTTTATTTCTCTTTCAATGAAAACTCTGTCATGTACTAAGGGCGCTCTAAAAATCAGCCTTTGAAAATATGTATTTTTAGTCCTTTCTAGGAATTTGGTCATCCATAAAGTTTTCCCAAGCTTACAGATGGAGAAGGCTACAGAAAACAGAAAAATACTGTATGGGAAAGAGGAACAGGGTATGCCCAACTTGAAGCAAGGTATCAATCAATGATAGACAACAGTTCATGAGAGCTACCAATCAAATGTGGTTTTAAGTAAAACATACAAAAGAAGATCAAGGAAGGAATAACTTTAAGAAGCACGTTTAGCAAAAACAAAACAAAACAAAACAAAACAAAACAAAACAAAACAAATAAAACCTTCCTCTTACTGGGGATCACCTTTCTTTCTTTAAGAGATCTGCCATCTGGATATGACTAATTCTTCTCTCTTTTCTTTTACAACCCCTTGTTCAATCTTCTTTGATCTGGAACTTGACCTCCCTCTCTGTTCCTTCAAATTGCCTACCACCCTCCACTCTCCA